TCGAGCCAGCGTTCAGCGTCTGCCGCGAAACGCAGCGCCCAATGCGGTGCGGCGTCTGACGGCGCGGGGTCGCTCGCGTTCGGCAGAAAGTCGCTCAGAGCCGCGCCGTAGTGCGCGAGCAGCGCGCCGACTGCGCGCTTGAACGGGCTCTGTTCCTCGATCGAGCCGGCAAACACGCAGTCGTGCACGAACTGCAGCTGCAGCTCAAGCAACCACGTGCAGCGCGGGAACTGCTCAGTCTCCGCACCGAAGCAGAGGTCGAACGCCGTGTAGCGCTCGCCCGCGCTCCCGCTCGTCAGTCGCTTCTGCAGCGCCGCACGTGCAACGCTCAGCGCAAGATAGGTCGGCTCGGCGCCCGCCGAGCTCGAGCTGCAGCAAAAAACCAGCGTCTCGGGCTTCAGGTGCACGGAGACGCGTTGGTCGAAGACGCCGCGCAGCAGTGCCGCGTTCGCCTGGCGCTTCTCGCGCTTCGCTTTCTTCTCGCTCTGCTTGCGCGCGGGAGGGTCGAAACGTAACTGGCCTGCCGAGTCGCTCGCTACGAAGAAGCTGCCGGCGCGGACCAAGCAGCGCAGCGCGGCGAGATGCAGCGGCTCGAGCGCATCCAATGAGAGCAACTCGACCACGTTGTCCACGTAGCGCGGCTCGCCCTCGTGGTGCGTCCGCAGTGCGTGGAATACGAAATCGTTTGCGAGCGCGGCGCCGAGCTCTTGGAAGACCGTCGCCTTCAGCTGCCGCAGAAAGTACGTGAGCAGCGGCTTTGCGCGCTGCTTAATAATTTGCAGCGCGAAGGCGCCGAGTTGCTCTGTGCTGAGCGCGACTTCCGGCGGCGCCGAAAACGCGTCGAGGTTTGGCGCAAGGTCGGTGAAGAAGAAACAAGCAATGGCGCTAAGCGCGAACGGGCAGGCGCTGTTGCGGAAGCACAACTCGAGCACGTCGGCTCCCGGAAACTTGCGGTCGCCAAGCAGCTGCGCGTCCGTCGCGTTCAGCGCGAGGCTGCCGAAAATCAGGAAAGGCAGCACGCCGCGCGGGTCTCCCAGCCGTCCCGCCGCGTCGCAAAGCTGCAGCGCGCAGAAGAGCGAGGGCTGCTCGTTTGCCGCCGCGCCGGTGTCGACGCTCGCGGCCGCAGCCGTCTCGAGAGTGAGCGCTTCTTGCTTGAGCCGCGACCACTCGGAAAGCCACGCGCGCAGCGCCCACGCAACCTGTTCTTCGGTTTGCAGCTCTGCGCTCATGACGGCCGCAGCGAGTTCGCCGAACTGAGCAGCGTCTTGTGCATTTAGCCAATAAATCAGAATATTATTTCGCCTCTAATGACGCCGGAGGCAAACTCAATCACTTTCCAGGCACTGCGCCTGCTCTGGGCCGCTCAACGCGCGTTGCGAGATTTCAGTCTGCTGCTCGAACTGCGCGCTGCGAACTTGCAAGGCTGGCTGCCAAAGCGGTCTCCTGCGCCAAGCGAAACTTGCCAGAAACTCACGCTGGAACTGCAGCATCTGTTTAACGACTCGAAAATCGCGCCGCGCGCGAACTGCGGCGTTTCGCCCGAACGCCTTGCGCAAGCGTTCGGGTCTCTCGAGATTGCAATCGAGACTCTTGCTTGCTTCGCGAAGCCACTCACGGAGCGCAGCAAGCTGGAGGCCGGCGCGCTTGCGTTGCTCGCGGCGCGCGTCACCGTGGCGGAGTCGTGTTTGCACAGCTTCTTAGAAATTTGCAACGAGCTGGTTCGCGGGACGCGGCCGCTAGTCGGCGCTGCGGCGGAGCCTGGACTGCACTGCGCGGAGCTGACTACATTTTTCGACTACGTCTCCGAGGAGCTTGCGCGCAGCTGCGCTGCAGAGCGCGGCGCACCGCGCGCAGCCAACGTGCTGAAGTTCGGCAAAGGCCTTGCGGCCTACGTACAGCTGCGCTGCGCCGCGTTGGCGCCTGAGAACGAGGCGTTTTTGGTCGAAGAACTGCAGCGCTTCGAGGCGGCCACGGCGCGTTCGCAGACAGACGGCCGGGCGACGAAGTGTGCAAAAGGCACGGTGGACTTCCACCCGCACGAGATGCAGCTGCGCAGCTGCGTGTTGCGCGACGTAGAAGACGTTTTCCGCTTGTTCGGCGGCCAAGCAATTGACACGCCAGTGTTCGAACTGAAAAAAGTGCTCACCGGCAAGTACGGCGAAGACTCAAAGCTGATTTACGACTTGAAAGACCAAGGCGGCGAGATGCTCTCGCTGCGCTACGACCTGACTGTGCCCTTCGCGCGCTACTGCGCGACACACGCAGTCGAGAAGATCCGCCGCTACCAGATCGGGAAGGTGTATCGGCGCGACGAGCCTCAGGTCGCAAAGGGCCGCTTCCGCGAGTTCTACCAGTGCGACTTCGACATCGCGGGGCCGGGCGACGCGCTGACGGCGGACGCAGAGATTCTGCGTCTGCTGATCTTTTTGCTCGAGCGAATGCAGCGCTTCGTCGGCGACTTTTGCGTGCGCGTAAACCACCGTGTGCTACTAGAGGCGCTGTTCGCGCAGGCGGGCGTCGAGCCCGCGCAGTTTCAGCCGGTCGCGAGCTCCATCGACAAGCTCGACAAGCTGAGTTGGAAAGAGGTTGCCGAAGAGTTGACGTGCGTAAAGGGCGTCGCGGCTGAGGTCGTCGAAGCGCTTCGGCCGCTGATACTGGTGAAAGAGCCGGTCTCGAACGTCTGTGCTCGGCTGCGACAGATTTCGTCACTGGTCTCGGACGACGCGTGTCGCGCAGCGCTCGACCACATGCAGCAGCTCGGCGAGTGCGTGCCTTCCGCGCGCCTGCACTTCGACTGCTCGCTCGCGCGCGGGCTGGACTATTACACGGGGCTCATCTTCGAAGCAGAGCTCGTGCACAGCGAAACGCGGCTGGGCAGCATCGCTGCCGGCGGCCGCTATGACCAGTTGATCGGCCAGTTCTCTGGGCGCGCAGTTCCAGCGGTGGGCGTGAGCTTGGGACTCGAGCGAATCTTCCGCCTCTTGAACGAACGCGTCGGGCAGCACGCGCGAACGGCGACGCTCGGCGACAAAAGCGTTCCGCTCTGCGCGAACGACGTCTACATCGTGCCGCTCGGCGTCGGCTGCGCGCCCGCGCTCGAGCTCGCGCAACAACTGCGCGCGCGCGGGCTCTCCGCGCAGCTGTGCATGAAAAAGAAGCCGCAGCTCAAGAGCGAGCTGGCGCAAGCGCTGCAGGCGGGCTTCCAGTGCGTGGTGCTGCTTGGGAAGAAAGAGCTCGAGGCGAACTGCGCGACAGTCAAACTGCTCGCGAGCGTGGAAGAGCTCAGCCTGCCGCTTTCAGAAGTGCCGCGCGCAGTCGCGGCTGCGGTCGAAGACCGCGGGCGCGCTTTGCGCGCGCTGCTTTTCGAGGGACGAGTTGAATTTCCGTAATTTTGATTTATTGGGCCATCAATGCTTTCGCGAGATGTCTGACGAGTCAAGCTACACGTCGCAGTTTTCGACTCTCAAGCCGAAAATTTGGCGCGGGCTCACGAGAACCATCCGCAACACGCGCTCGGAGATCGACTTCGTGATTTTGTGCGTGCACGGCACGAGCTTCAGCAGCCAGTTCTTCAACTTCAACATCGAGGAGCTCAGCAACGCCGTGCAGCGTCTCAATGAAACGTGGTTTTGGGAAAAGAGCGGCTCTTTCCACATCGAGATGATCGACTGGAAAGAAGTGGTCAGCGAAATGCAGATGCAGTTCCAGACAATCGTTACGCCGAAGGGGCGTGCAGAAAAAGTGTACGAGGCGATTTCGAAAAAGAGTTTGCAGTCGTACGGCGCGGACTATTGCAATACGACGGCGCGCGGAACACCGAGCGACGCGCAGGGCGCCTCGATGAATCAATTACTATCGTGGCTGCACGAGGAGCCGGCAGTGCGTGACGCGTCGGATTGCCAACGAGCATACTATGGCGACTTGATGACAGGCTCCGAACGCGGCGCGCCGAACATAAAGAGGTTTGAGGCCATGACGGAGGAGTGCGGCTTACGCGCGTACGTCAGCAACGTGTTCATGGACATTCTTTTCTACTTGAATCCGCGCTTCGGCCAAATGTTGCAAGCGACGCTAGCGCGGCTGCTGAACCAGCGCGTGATGAATCTGCGAGCGGACCCGAGCGGCTGCTTCAGCACCAGCGAAATTGTTTTGATCGGCCACTCGCTTGGAGGCGTGCTGCTCACCGAGCTGCTTTCGGGCGCGCGCTTCGCTCCTAGCGCGCGGAAACCGAACGACTCGAGCGAGGCGCCCGTGGTGCCCTGCCTGACTTTCCCCTCGGAAGCGGAGCTGCTCGTCGAGCCTTTGGTGTTTACGGTCAAGCACGTGTTCATTTGGGGCAACCCAGCCGGGCTTTTCATGGTGGTCAACAACAACGCAGAGTTCGCCGACGGCAACTTGTTCGCCAACACGCCGCACCAAAACACGAGGTACTACAACATTTTTCACACGCACGACCCGATCGCCTCGCGCGTCGAACCTGTCGTTTATCGCAGACTCAAGCACACGCCGCAGGCCGTGACGCTCCGTACGATCGGAGCTTCTTCGAAGATCGGCATGTACCTGAACCTGCTGCGCAACGGGACCGTCGCCAAGGCGCTCAAAAAACTCACCGCGCCGTTCAGCGCGGGTCTCGACGCTGACCGCAAAGCCGGAGCGCCGCACCACAGTTGGGAGTCCTACCGCTTTCGCGCGCGCTATCGTTTGCCCGACCTGAACGACAGCTTCGCGCGCTACGGCGCGCAGAACATCAACGTCGCGCCGCTCGCTGACGACCCCGCGTTCTGCGCCGCATACGAGGCCGCGGCGCACGCGGACACCGCGGACGACGACGCGCGCGCGAAGCCAGCGAGCGCGAAGGCCGCAAGCCTTGCCGCGAACGGGTCGGCTAGAGCGAGCCTCGCGTCCTCCGCGCGCTTGCTCGACAGCGACGCGGGCCAAATTCCCTGGACGCCCCGCCAGCTCGCGCTGAGCCTCGTCTCGGAAATGCGCGAGAGTTTTGCAGAAAACGCGCAGACGCAACTGATGAAGCTGAATTTGTCGCAAAAGGTCGAGGCTTTCGCGCTCTCGCAGTTGTTCAACTTAATTGACAAGGCCGCCGTGAAGTTCCTGAGCAACGTGTGCAAAGAGAACTTCGTGCACTGCCACAAAAACTACAAAAACATCTCGCTGCAAGACTGGCTCGAGCAGAGTCGTTTGTGCGACCTCAACATGACGAGCAATATGTGTCAGAAAGAGTTTCAGCAGCACTTCGACGCGGCGCAACACACGGTAGAAGACGCCGCGGGCCGGCTGCTGCCGGCTCGCTACGACTTCTGCGCAACCGGCATGCTGCCCGACTTCGTGACGCCCGCGATCGGACTGGTCAGCAGCCACCTGAGCTACTGGAGCTGCTCCGACACCGTGTACTTCATGCTCTGCCAGCTGTACCGCTTTGAACCCTGTATGGACATCGCGGCGCGAAACGTCATCATGCAGCACGCGAGCGAGACGCGGCAGCGCTTCCACAGCGATCTGAGCAAGCTGCTGCAGTCGATGAGCGCGCAGTGAACGGCGATTTTTAATTTGATTTCACGAAATAGGTCTCTGCTATGATAACGCCCGACCTAGTCGTGCAGAGTAAGTGCGCGCGCGCGCGCCGCAGCACTCACAGACGCGGGCAGCGCGGACTCTTCGCGGCGCAAGGCCGCCGAGGCGCAACTCGAGGCGTTCGGCTTCGACGCAGAGTTTCTGCTGTTGCTGCTGCAGATCGGAGCGCACGCCCGCGTCGACGCGGCTGTGCGGCTGCAGGGGCTCTCGCACGCAGTGCGGTTGCTGCGAAAGCACGCGCACCTTAAGAGCGACGGCAGCGACCCGCAGCGGCTCCAGCCAGCCGTTCTGCTGCGGCTGCTGGCGACCGCGGGCCGCTCGCTCTCCGCCGTGGACTGCGCCACGCAGGCCGCGCTCTTCTCGCTGTACAAGCGCGCGGCGTACCTGTTGCTGAAGAACCTGTGCGCTGAAAACGCGAGCCCCGTCGCAGCGCTCTTGTCCGAGTGGCTCGCGCCGCAAGACCCGCAAGCCTTTTTCGCCGCGACCGTTCTCTTCTACCAACTCATCAAGCTGCACGAGTTCCGCTCCGAGGACCCCAAAGTGTCGCAGCTGCAGCCGCTGCTGCAGACTTGCTTCCCGCGGCTGCTGCTCGCGCTGCAAGAGTTCCGGCCGGAAGTGTTCGAACACGCTTCGCACTGCTATCTCACCAAAATCATCGTGAAGACCTACAGCCTCGCACTGCTCTTCGCGCTCGAAGACTGCCCGTACTTGCTGCACTCGGTCGAGCCGTTCAACCAGGCGCTCGCAACGCTGTTCGAAGCCGACGTGCCGCTCGCGGTGCTGCGCGACGCGCAGCGCAGCAGCTTCGCCGTGAAGTGCAAGCTTGCGGTGAATAAGTACTTCGAGCGCAGCCTCAGCCGCTTCTGCTACGTGCGCCGCTGGACGGAAAGTGCGCGCAAGCGCTACGGCCTGCACTTCCTCGCGCGCGACGCGCCGCGCTTCGCGCAGAGCGCCGTCGCGCACCTGCGCGCCGCAGCGCGCGGGCACGCCTTCGACACCTTCGAGCTCGCCGCGCTGACGCACTGGGCGCAACACGAGCAACTGGTCAGCTCGCTGGTGCGCATCTTGTCGAGCGCGTTCGAGGTCAAAGAGTTGCGCGACGCGCTCGACGCCGAGTTCGCGCAGTTCCTTCCGTTCCTCGTGATGCCGCTGCTCTCCTTCACCGCGGAAGAGCGCGAACTGTATCTCGACGCGCCCGAGGAATTTAGCGAGGCCGCGCAGCCGAACTCGTACGACGACACGCCGGCCACCGCGGCGCTCGCTCTGCTGCGCGCTTACGTCAGCGCCGACAAGTTTGCGCGGCTGCCTGCGCTCTTTGAGTTCCTCCAAGCGCAGTTGGAAGCGAACCCGCTGGCTCAGTCCCGCGAGGAATTTTCGGGCGTCGTCAAGACGCGCTACGCGTGCTACCGCGCGCTCTGCGAGATCGCGCGCTTCATCGTGCACAAACTCGGCGCGTTCGACGCGCGCCTGTTCTTTGCGCGCCAGCTGCTGCCCGACTTGCAGTCGGACTGCGGCATTTTGAAGCACGTGGTCATTCGCACCGCCGCGGTGCTGGTCTCCAGTCAGTTCAAAGACCGGCCAGCGGTCGACAACGTGTGCTTCGTGCCGCTGCTCCACTTCGTCGTGAAGTTTCTCTCCGCAAACTCGAGTCCCGTAAACTTCTCTGCGGCCTACTCCGCGTTCAACCACCTCGTGCGCGTAGAGCACCCACTCATGCGCGACGCCGTCGCCGGCGAGCTGCCACAGCTGCTCGAACTCGTCTGCGCTTGGATGGTGCGCGAAGACCGACACAACCAGGCTTTCGACGTGCTGAACCTGCTCATCGGCAAGATGCCGAACTTGGTGGTCCCGCACGCGAAGAAACTGCTGCAGTCGCTCGTGGCCGCAATGTGCTCCGCGCTCGTCAGCGACAGCCGCAAACCCGCGCCCGAGAGCGACGAGCTGTCCGCGTCAGCCGGCTCGCAGCTCGACACGTTCGAGTGCGCGCTGCAGAGCGTCGCGGACTTGTTCCTCAACCAGCCGTCGCTGCACGCGGAGCTGCCGGAAATCGCGCGGCTGCTGCACCCGTTGTTTCAGCTTTGCTTCTCGCGCGCCTTTTGGCGCTACTTGACGCACGTCTGCGCACTGCTCTCGCTAGTCACCTACGAGCTCGGCGCGTTCAGCGCCGAAGTCTGGGGCTACTACGACGACGCCTACGCGGTGCTCAACGGGCCCAACGAAGCGGACGCGTTCTTGAGCAACGAGGACAGAATCGCGCTGGTCAACAGTCTCCAAAACTACATCGTCGGCGATCCGCAAGGTTTCTGCCACGGCGTGAGCGAGCGACACCGGCTCTCGCGCCTGCAGATGTATTTCCGACTGATCGCCGCAAACGGGACCACGGAGTGGAAAGACGAGGCGAGCTACCCTTCTGTGG